ATTCCACAGACTGGGAGCAGCGCAGCAGAAGGCCCGTCTCCATAGTACGGAGCTAGTCCTGGGGGGGTTTGAGGAAGTTGGAGTTGCTGGAGAGGGCTGGTTCCGCAAGGAGGTATGGGGGGTGATGGAGTTCCTTGAGGTAGGGGAGGGGCAGTTCCATGGACACATGGTGGGTGAGGACGGAGACCTTGAATTCGATCCTCAGTTCCACGGGTAGCCAGTGTAGTGCTTTAAGGATGGGGGGTGATGTGATCATTATTGCGGCACCCTCATCCAGGATCCTAGCAGAGCTGTACTTGGATTCCTAAAGCTTTTAGTCTACTAACCCCTTCCATCCAAGGTTAGTTTTCACTATAAGTACAAAATATATTTTGGGACGGACATCATTTACCGTTTTTTACCATGTTCAATCTGAATTTTCTTTAAAATAAAAAACATCTATATTGCTTTATGACTTTTCTACATCCAACTCACAGGTTATCATTACTTTGGGAAAATGATTATTAATTAACCCTTTTAGAAGGGAAGATATGGTCATTTGTTCTGGGAATGTCATTTTCGAGCCTGAAACCTGAAAAAACAGGCTTGGGCCTACAGGTTAAATGTCAGGTAAATCATTTTTAATCAATGATTTTATCACCCAGCATAATCTGGATTTTTATGTTTTTAACTGAAACTTGGTTAGACCAAAACAATAGTGCAGCTGTTCTTATAGAATCAACTCCTCCCAACTTTAGTTTTATGAGTCATGCAAGACTGCATAAGAAAGGGGGTGGAGTAGCTATTTTGTTTAATGATTTACAGTATTTCAATGCAAGTAGACTATGTATGGGAACTTTGCTTCTTTGAAATATGTGGCCCTTCAGCTGAAATGCTCCTCTCGAGCTCTTTTCCTAAACATCTACAGTATAGACCACCCACATACTGTGCAAGCTTTTTTGATGATTTCACCGAGTTGTTGTCTGGTGTATTGACTTTGACCGCCCTAGTCTTGTGGTGATTTTAATATCCATGTTGACAATCCCAGAGGGGCCTAAAGAACTGTTTTGTGTTATCGACAATTTTGGACTGACTCAGGCATGTTCAAGCGTCCGACACCCACTAAGGGGCACACCCTGGACTTAATTGTATCAATGGGTCCTGAACATCTCTAAGCTTGTGGGTGACTGATTGTAGCGCTCTCCGATCATTCCTGTGTTTTCTTTGTGAGCTCTATTACCGTCCATACAATTGCTAAGAAAGAGGTAACCACTAGACGTCACTTAACTGAAATACCGAGGAAATCTTTGCTCAGATCTTTACTCCCTCAATTGCCCATGCTAACTTCTCAGTAAATGAGCTAGTTGATCATTTTAATTCTAAAAATAACACACTGTCATGGATGCCATTGCTCCCATTAAAAACAAAGGAAGTATCTAGCAAGAAACAAATCTCCATGGAGAAAAGCCATGACTGTGAGAACAGCAAAAACTGAGTGCAGAAAAGCTGAACACAGGTGGAGAAAACAAATCTCCAAGTTTACTTCGAAATATATAAAGAGAGACTCGCATCTTTAATCAGGAAATAAAAAAAGGCACGACAGTTCTTTCTTTTCTACCAAAAATAAAAAACAACTCACGGCCTTGTTTTGCTACCGTCGACAGACTCAACCAACCCCCCCAGTGTCTAGTAGCTCCAGAATTTCTATCCACCAGGGCCCTCTGCAATGAATTTTGCCTCCTTCTGTCACTGACAAAAATCATGCAAATAGACAGGCAGTCAGTGCCCTCGCACAGGAACAGCCAATGTTTTGTCCCTGTGTCCACCTAAAGTCAATCCAGACATCATGACACAATTCCATCTGATAAATGCTAAAGACCTGGAAGACATTATCAAGCATCTGAAATCCTCCTTCTGTAGCCTCGGCATCATACCGACAGGATTTTTCAAAAACTGTTTTTTCCCTGCATGGCCTCAGATATACTACCATAGTAAACAAACCTCTTCAACTCAGGTGTATTCCACAGGCCCTGAAAACTGCAGTAATTAAACCACTCCTAAAAAAGCATAACTTAGACCACAACCGTAAATGAATAATTACAGGCCAATATCAAACCTTCCTTTTTTAAGCAAATTGATTGAAAAAGTTGTTTTTCAAAGTTTGAGTCATTTCATGTTTTTTAAATGACGGTTTTTGATGTGTTTCAGTCGGGCTTTAGAACTAAACCACAGCACTGAAACTGCACTTGTAAAGGTCTTAAATGACATTCATTTAAACACAGACAGTGGCAGAATATCAGTTTTAGTATATTAGATTCCAGCGCTGCCTTTGATTACTGTTGACCACAAACATATTTGCTAGACCGTCTAGAAAGCTGGGTGGGAGTTTCAGCAACAGCTTCTAAATTGGTTTAGTACCTACTTTAAAGGACAGAAAAACGTTGTCTCAATAGGCAACTACACATCAACTTTGACAATATGTCATGCGGGGGTTCCTCAAGGCTCCATCTTAGGACCTTTGCTTTTTAATATTTATATGCTACCTCTGGCTGAAATTATTAAAAGAGCGATCTAAGCTATACAACATCTATGCAGACGACACCCAGATTTATTTTTAAAATCACACCAGGAGACTATTCTCGATTAGAAACACTGAGCCAAGTGCATTGAGCATATCACTGACTGGATGGACTCAGTTTTTTGTTTGTTCAGTGGAGAAAGTTCTGAGATCATTGTTTTTTGGAGCACCAAAGAAGGACCGATTAAAGTAATCGCAGAAGCTTTAGTCGGCAGGACTACAAAACCAACTAATAAAGCCGAGAATATCCTAGGGTTGTAGTGATGGACTCAGACCTGAATTTCAACAGTCACATTACAAACAGTCATTAGGTCTGCTTATTATCACCTGAAGAATATATCGAGGATATAAAAACTAATGTCACAACAGGACTTAGAAAAGCTTGTCCATGCTTTTATTTTCAGTAGGACTCGGCTACTGCAATAGTGTATTCACAGGGCTGACAAAAAAAATCTATCAGAAAACTGCCAGCTGATTCAGAACGCTGCTGCACGTGTCCTCACTAACACTAAAAGAGTTGATCACATCAGTCCGGTCTGAAATCTCTACATTGGCTTCCAGTCGGCCAAATAATTGATTTTAATAGTACTATTGCTAGTTTTTTAAATCATTACATGGTTTAGGACCAAAGTATATTGTTGAAATCCTACATAATTACGAGCCATCAAGGTGCCTCAGGTCTTCTGGGACGGGTCTGCTATCGGTTCCGAGAGTAACAACAAAACATGGAGAGGCAGAATTTAGTGTTATGCCCGACACTCTGGAGCAAACTTCCCAAATCATGCACGTCCGCAGAAAACACTTACTATTTTTTAAATCGAGACTCTAAAACAGATCTCTTTGCCGGCTGCTTTAATTGAGATGATCATATTCAAACTCCAGTATGCATTTTAAACATGTATTGTATACCTGTGGTTGTTGTATTTTTTATTATTTTTATTATCTTGCTTTGTAATGCCTGTTGTAAAATGCCATTATATAATGTGTTTTACTGTATTTAATCCTAAAAAGTCTTTTAATTTGTTTTGTAAAGCACTTTGAATTGTCGCGTGCAGAAAAGTGCTATATAAATAAACTTGCTTGCCTTATGCAGTCAAATTAAAAAACACTGGGTACATCACTGTTTTCTACATCTATTTGTATGATGCTGTGAGTTTTAATGCACTTATTAATTATCTCTCTAATGGATCCTAACTCTACCGTAATTCAGTGCTGAACCAAGCCAGCAGTGATCCCTTCTGTTCCATCATCTACAGGCTTTACACTAGTCTCAGATTGGCAGAGATGACTATAGCCCATACATGGCCAGAACAGGCCATACTACAAAGTTCCTGGCAGCGTAATGTGGAAATGGAGCAGTGACGAAAACAGCCTTTGCACTGTGTTGTAGGAACAAACATCTGAGCTGGCTCTTTAAAAAAAAAATGTTTTTGTGTGGGTGGAACAATGTAGATAAAGCAACCCCGCATGGGTGCCACAATCTGCCAAGGCCAGACTACCGACCGGCTCGCCTTGTGTGGCATCGCGTATGAGCACTGAGATGACACATCAACTATTGTCTATATTTAACTTACTGGACGCTTCTCTTTCCAATGTTCCCATCCTTTTAGAAGAGTCTGCCAGGGACATTGGTGAAAAAACAGGCCGAGGTGATGTGTAATTACGCTGAATGGATCCCGCCTCCCACATCCTTTCATTGTACCTACACCCTCGGAGATAATGAAATGGAAGGCAAGCTTTTTTTTTTTATATTTACCATAAATCCTGCCAGTCTAGCCGCTCTTATTTATGGTGTCAAAGAAAAAACCCTTAAAGGCTGGACCCTTAAAGCCTGAAAAGTCACGGAACGTAAACACCAGCAAGCATCCTATGTGGGTGGTGAACTCAATCTGATAAGGGCTTCTAAGAAACCAGTGTTCGCTCTCTTGAAAAGACGGTGTGGTAAACCATCACAATCCACGCTCTGCTTGAATACCCCACATATCTTTTGCTGTAGATACTATCTTGAATGCAGAAATATAACTCAGAATAGAACTGTGATTGGGCTGGAAAGCTACTGAAAGGACTCCTTGTTTGGCTGACATTGTTGCCACTTCCACGTACAAATTAAAACATTTATTTTCATCATGTTTCATTGTTCTGAACTTTTGACTTCTGCCTGCATGCAACCTTGCGTGTTCCTGTAACTCGAAGCCCTTAGCCCGTTAACCAAACTGTTGCATAACTTTTAAGAGGGGGGAGACCTTGCAGGGAGAATTTCTTTAACTGAACACAACTAAATCTCCCCTTACTTCTGATTGAAGAGGAAGTGATTTTTTGAAGATGTCAAAACGTTGGAAGGGCAAAATGAAAGTAGGACATGATGGACTCTCTCACATGTCAGGGCAGGGTGTGTTCAGGTGTGACCTATCATTGTAAAGGTTGAAATGTAATGCCAACTCACCTATTCTTCTCCAGCTCATTGTGTGTGGACCTAAGGAGACAGAAAACAGAATTTAAATAAAGAGCACAGGTGGATGTTTGCTTGCTCAACATGCAAAGCACAACCCTACAGTATCTGTTCCTCGTGGCAATGCACTCCGTTCAAGGAAATAAAGCAATAAATAGAGATAATAACTAAAAGAGCTAGACAACAACCAGAGCCAAGATTAGCACAATGAAATACTCAGTGGAATTTGACTCATGAATGTATTATTGAGGCCCAAAAGAGAACAACTCTAGGCCCATTCCATTGGAGCCTTTACACCAACAGACGTAACTGTGACAGGCGGGCCCTCACTGTGGCATTATACGGCCTCTTCCTCAATAATGCACGGCAAAGCTTTGTGGGAGTGTGACACTGCAGCCACTACTGTGCATGTAGGTGCGTGCAAGCATGTGCTGCTGGGCAAGTACTAGCATGCACCCACACACACATGCGCACACACACAGCAGTGAGGGTTCAGTGCTCTGTTAATAATGTAAAGTGAATCAGCTGTTTCCTAAGAGTCTCTTTGTGTGGCAACATACTGAAGCCCTCCTCCTGATGCTTAAATGGCCAAGTTCCCATCCTACACACTGCACCTCGCCTAAAGGGGGACAGGTTTTAGGTGGGGTTATGGGCTCTCCTGAGTCATGTACGCAGCACTCTATATTCCAGGTTATCGATACTGCAATACGCTTTCCTCTTATATATTCCTTTTAATACTGAGCTGACAAAACCGCTGTCTTTTTTATATGGAAACAGGAAATATGGAGAAAACAGGAGATAAGAAGGGAAGAGGCATAAGACAGATGGACCACTTCAAGGCGATAGTTCACTGTGTAAAAACTAGCACTGCCTCAGCGGTTGAATTATTTACACTAATAAAAAAACACTGCATGTTTCTAATTCATTTCATGTAGTTGGGTATGCAAGACTGGATGTTAAGTCAACTGTGGAGGTATATTTGATTTAACTTATTCTATAACCTAGTAATCATGCATGACTGCGCTCTGCATCGGCTAACCTGTCAAACATAGAAATCACAAAACTGCTCTAAAACCAGCTTGCTCTCTTATGCTTGGCCACTACTACCCTGATAAATGTTATCTAAGAAAGAGTTTCAAAATGATTTCTATGTAGGGAAAATTATTAGTCACAGCCTTGTGTTCGGTGAAGGCTTTTTACGCGAATATGTAATTACTTTTTAATGGCAGAGAGTCCACTGCTTTCTGTAACTGTGAGTGAGAGCGATAGTTTTGCTAACAGAAGATGAATACTTCGGAGTCTATAATTTGCATCATCAGCTGTCACCGTGCTCACACTGGGCCTGTGTTGCTTGGAAACCATCATCATGGTTTGTAATCTCCTCCAAAACTCAAAGCATTTCACCAGAATCTAATTCAGTGTAGTGTGCAATTATATCATGTTTTTGGGCTGATTACCACTCTTTAAGAAGGAAGGGAAAATGTATTTATGGGGATTGTTACTATTGTGGCCGCATCAAGCATCGTCCTTAGCAACACAATTGATTCAGACAGTGAAGAAGACCGTTTTGCGAAAGCCTCAATTATTTCTCCCATAGATAATAACTTTAGAAAGTCTATCTAAGGGCAATGCTGGTGTCAATTACATTATCTGTTAATCTGCAAAGTAGATACGCCTTAGGTCAGCCTGGCACACCACATCTTATGGCCTCTCATTTGGAGAGATCAATCTCAGACAGCTTGAATTCCCATTGGCTTTTATCATCACACACCACTTCCCTGTCTTCTGAATCAGATACAGTATCTCTGTGTCTGGAGCTCAACAACAATGCAATACAGATTATAGAATGTCTCAAAGCCACACAACTGCAGCATACCTCTTCTGTACACGCGTATATTTGTGAGTCTGTGCGCGAGTATACGCACACAGAGAGTGGGTCAATGAGATAAAGCGACCCTGCTATAAACGGTAGGCAGGAGAGGACAGAGTCAGATAAGCCCATCACTTTAAGCCTCCACACGCTACTGAGAAGGTAGCTACTGTACTGGAGCAGCAGGTCAAACCAAATGTATCTGTACAGTTAATGTAATCATTATGTTATCATATTTCAAAGAAATTAATTTCAGAATGACATGGCAGTGAACTGAACAATGGAATGAAAAAGAAGATTTATATGAATGAGGGTTTAGATAATGTATGATGTCATTTAGGCGCACCATTGGTCGAGGATTCTCTTATTATCACTCAGAGCGCACGCCACGCCGCACAGATAATGTAAATGTATAGTAGATCTTGCTAAAAAAAACGTCTCTGGCTTATCTGGAAATTGTAATAAGGAATTGCAAGGTGGGGACTGTTGCACAATTTTAACAACAGCTTCTCCATTTTCAGCTTGTACTGTATAAATAGGACTTTCCGTGGACGACATATAACGCAGACAGGGGCGGCCCATCCAGTGACCCTTACAGCACTGGGGATATACAGAATAATGTTATTTTGTTGGTACGCAAGATGTGTGCTATTCCAGTGGGAATGATACAAAAAAACGGTATCACAACACGAGGCTGAGAAATGGTGTTTAAATGCTAATGGTGTTACCTCACTGAGTGAGTTGTGAATGTTTCTCTGTTGGGAACATCATTCCTGCAAAGGCTTCTGAATATCTGTACTGACTTCCTGTTGCAGGCCATTTAAGAAGATCTCCTTTTCTCCATGCTTTTTGGTGCCATTTTCTCTCGTGTTTATGAGAATCCTTCTTACCATGCATCTCATTCTCCTTTAGAGTTGTTCACCTTATAGGCTATATTGAGGGTAAAGATGCTTTGTGAAAAGCTTATAGCTCTCAGAGGAATTTATTTTGCATGCAAGATGATTTTGCTTCAAAAACATCATTATTCTGTAGAATTTCCAAATTAGGAGCGACTTCTTGGAGGCTTTATGGAAAACGGCCTATATCTGATGATGACTGTTGCCATGCAGAACTAGGCTGCGTTCTGCGCTCATGATGAGTAATGCGCAGTTTCCTGTTTGTGGCCCGCTCTTACATTAATATTAAAAGGCTCAGAGAGAGACAGAGGGGGCATGGAGCTTGCGTTTGATGTATGACTGTCAATGGACAGATTAATGTAAGCAGCTAGCACGAAGAAAAAACACAATACTATTGAGTCTTAACCTTGTGTTTCGCCTGCTTCTCCTAATACTAAGTGAAAGTAACCATAGCCAGTGAGAGTATTGTGCTTGAAAGAGCTCAGGTTGATGATGTGATTATCAGACGGTGTTACATACGGCTACACAACAGAATAGACCATTACACATATGCTCCAATACCCGTAAGCTTGATGTTGTGTATGATTGATATGCATGCAAAAGAGGACACATAAATGGTGCAAACATGCATTTCTTGATAGGATAAGAGTGTAATAATGGTAAAACTGCATAAACTGATTGACATCATTAATCCTGAAAAAAGGCACTACGTATTGACCTTGGAGGTCTGCAAACAAAACACCAGCCATAAATAGGCCTTTTCCCCTTAGGGCGGAAGGCAAAACTACCCTCTCTTCTCACAGTGTAGAACACATATCCCATAGGATAAAATGAGCAGGGACTACCACCAACACGTAAAATAATAGCTGAAATACAATAAAGCAATAGCCTCTGTGTTTTTAAACCAGTGTGAGACGAGTGCAAAAGATTACATATTACTTTCTTTTCGTTTTTAGCTGTCACTTTCACCGCGGTCCCTAACCCTAGCACGCACTGCAGTCCGTTTGACAATCAGCTGATGAAAAGCTAGCAGAGCCGTTGAGGCTTCCCCCAAGCCAGTTAAACAACATTGTACACTGTCATGTGTGCACCTTTATATTCAACTAAAACATGTTTTACAAGTTTGAAAAAAATCCATGCTAACTTTTTTATTCAAAAATAGTATTTTCTGGAGCGTGACAAGGTGCTGACAGCCCGATTGTTTAGCCAAACGTTGCGATAAGGGTATTGGCAGTGAGTGTATCACGCATGCTGTCTGTAACACTTCCCAGTACATCACATAAATTATGAAACATGTATAAGTAAGTCAAATATATGCAGTGTTATCAAAGCCCACAATTGACCAGGATTCACATGACGAAAGAGAGCAGTGTCTTACCTATTGTGGTTATTGCTGAACTTCTTGTTTCGAAATTTCCTTTGCCTCTGGTAGTTTGTGTCCTCATTTGATGGAAATGTCCGAAGCATATCCGTGTTCCACACTCTGTTGAAAGTAAAATGGGTGGTTAACAGGGGTTGAGTTTGACTATTTTTCATACACCTATACACGTGGCAACAATCCTTCAGAACTTAATGGGAACACGTTTGTAATGACATCTGCTTATTGTGTGCAGTAAAGGCGTAAAGTAGTTCAAAACCACTGAACATAGCAACTGTTGATGCTGTTTACGGATACATCTCAGCTTCGCCACACACATTTGAACATTTACCTCTATCCTCTCCTCTCTATATATTCGGCAGCTTCCAATAACCGTTGAATATTTATTAATTGATAGCAGTCATTCTCTCCTGGCTGCCGTTGACGTTAGCTCTTCAGGTTACTAACGTTAGCTTCGCAAATAGCACCAACAGCAGATTGCTTTTACACCCAGGGAAGACAGTGCATCGGTTATTACTACACTGAGTGTTATTTGTTTTAAAAAAACACGTCGTGGTTATTATCTTTTCTGTGTCTTCGCTGGCTCATCAGCAGCTTTGGTCGAAAGAAGAGAGGGGGGAAATCCAGTGTTTCGCAAGCTGGCAAGCTACAACCAATCCTTGCCAGGTGTCGTTGTTAGAAAATGTCAAAACCAGTGTATCAAAAGTATTAAAAAGTCTCTAGGAAACACGGTATAAATTGTTATAAAAACGGATATAAATGATATAAAATGTCCCCGAGGGAGCCCAAAGCCACCAAAGTGCTTGCTGCTGCTCGTTTCCTCTCCTCTCCTGTTTGTTTACCTAGCTGCTCAGCTGAGAGGCGGGGACCGTGCTGAGGGAGGCTGGTCCACCGCAATGCATGCCGGGAAATTGAGTCTGACAAACGTGCACAATATTAATCATTGACACATTTTAGCATTCATTTACTGCTATGTGTCAAGTAAAAATAACGCCTTTTATTAATTTATAGTTTTACTGTAACTATGGTGGTCAGACTAAATATTCTGTGGGACAGTGCTACACTCTTACAGGTCACCAGAATGTGGTTATTTTATTCCTGCACAGGGTATCAGGGATGTTTCTGTCAGTGACGACAAGAAGAACACATCTTTTTATTTAGTTTATATTAAATTATAATGTATTCTAAATTCTAAATGTTCTAAATCAAAAGACTTGTGATAAATAGCCCATGACCACATATGTAAAACCACCCAACAACAAAGGATGTAATTTATGCCATCAATCATTAATGGTTTGATTAAAGCGGCTGTTTGATGTGTTAATGACTAAACACAAATAGCCTATTCATTTTGTGTTATTTATTCCTCTCATGCATGCATTCTTCCCAACCTCCTATCTCCTGCGAAAAAAGCCCTACAAATCCCATCATCCAACGGGGCTATGGGTGTGTGGAAGCCGGGCCCAGCAACACATGACGTCGATACCTACCGGGCATCTGATTGGCGGACGGCCTTGACAGGCGTCGAGGGTTGAACTCGCACCTGACCAACCGCGGAGAAGCTTTGCGCCATGTGGAAACCAGTGCCACACGCCCCCAAATAGCAGGAAGCAAACAACCGAGAGAAAAGAGCTGTGCCGCTGAGATCTGCTCCAGTAACATTCCCACGATAGCTTATAATCGTAGGATATAATACAAAATAGTTGTATGCAACCCGCATCAGCCGGTTTGCTCGGCTTTTCTGCACAAAAGGGTAGGGCACAAGGAAATGTATCTTTTCCCATCTTTCTTGCATCATGACTTGTTAAAAGGAAACGAGGACATCATAAATAATACATTTTTAAAAATTCGTTTTTAATATTACATGTATTGCAAATGCCCTGCCATTGAATTATACATAAGGCAAATTGAGAGGGCAATTGCAATCAACCTTATATCGAGCTACCTTTATGGGCTAGAAGTTATAAACATAACGTTAAACGGCCAGGCGACACACTTTCTATAATTCTATATCTAATTCACTATTCAGTTGTGTACTTAAATTGCGTTATCTATGAAGTTGATTTTTTTTTTTTCGATCTAGTCTGCGGGGGCACAATGACATCATCCTTAACTGAGTTGGAGGGCGCTGCAATGTGGTCAGATTGATCATATCGGAGTGGTAGTCAGCATGCACACCCACACAACCAAGCATTGTATCTTATTGCTTTATATGCTGTAGGGAGAAATAACACATTTCTGGGTTGAGACAGAGTTGTGCAGACTCAACGGGATGCAAAGTGCCCAACATGCAGAGGATGCAGATACAAACAGTACAGAAAACACTACAAGTATGTTTATACTCTCCTATAAATGCAAAAGGTATATTAGTACATCAATCATATTAGTCTGGTGCAGGCTCTGCTTATAGCAGGCAGTGGTGCTTAGTTGAATGAACTCAGCCCTTTGTTGTCTGAGTCTATTGACAATGAAGTCTTGTTTTCCTGAAATTCAGAGGCAAATGACAAGGATCACAACGCAGCACATATAAACTCACTTCCGTCCTTTCTGTCGGCGCTCTCAAGAAACCTAGCAGCCTCCAGCAAAACTTGGACGTTTTTCAGAAAAGTGTTGATCTGCTTCATGTGGGAGTCTTTGGAGTTAAAGACGTCATTGAAAGGGCAATTAGACATCTCAAAATCTTGCTGATCCAATAGAGACGCCTCGGAATCAAAAAAGAACTCCTCACTCTTCAAACTTCCTCTTTGCATCTCACTTTTGGCCATTTTCCCCTCTTTTATTTGTCTGGCTTCTGTTCTGGCGACGTGCTGAGCGCAATACACAGTGAGGCAGCTACCAGTGGATGCTGCTCTTGTCAGATGGTTCTTCTTTTCTTTTCTTGTTTATGAATGCGGGGTGTTAAATGTGGAGCAGTGGCCAATGTCAGTAGATGGTGGTGCATGGGAACACGAGAGCCGGCCCCCCTCGGTCTGAGGAGTCTGCATGGTCCTTGTGCCCGTCAGTGGAGATCTTTCTGGTATATCTATGCAGTAAATAAGAAAACAAATGAATATGCACATTCACATGCCAACGAGATATTATAAATACAAAATAAATCCTTATACACAATCTGATCCTAAAATGTAATGATGGTGTTATAGCAGAAGTAATTGTGATATAAGAAAGCAATGCATATGAAACAGCAACATAGTATTTGTGGTGTTACTATACTGTTACTGTACTGATATTGTACTTAGCCTATAGTAAGTAGCTGATGTTAAAATCTACATTAGTAAATCCGAAATGATGCTCAAAAGTAGATTTTGATGTAAAAAAAACTGCTCAAAAGCTGCATTAAAACGTTATAGATATTACTCATAATCATTGTGTTGGATGTTCTATTGATATAGTACAAGGCTATATTATAATCAAACCATTTTTTCCTTGAAGTAGGCCTATTTGGAGCAAGAACCCAGTAATATAAAGTGAAAGTAGCAATATAGGGTGTGACCTGCATGACTTTAGAAGCATGAGTGGACACAATTCAGACCAGATTGTTTTGAAGGCAACACATTAGAAGTTACATTTGGTAGTAAAGCCCCCAACACTCTTTATTGCAGATAGAGAAATTACTGAAAGAGGCTCAACTCATAACCTGTCATCTTTACAAATCAAACCTAAATCATCATGTAGTAATCAGTACATGTTATGTTACATGTGTAACTAATGTCCTGCAGGTCACCCTTGAAAAAGATATCTTTTGATCTCAAGGGGCTTTCACCTGGTTAAATAAAGGCTAAAAAAAAAAAAATAATATTTATTTATACAGTATAGTTTAAGAGTGCAATTCATTCATACATACACCCCTGTCCATTTAAATATGACAGTTCAAGGGCAGTTACTGTAATTAGGCTACATTACTTATAATAATTAAATAGGAAGTCGACATCTTTGCTCACAAAGCCAAAACATAATGCAAGTGCAACAACACTAGATTATGGCACACATTATGTTGAGAGGGTTGTAACAACCACTCCCCTATTTCTCCAAGCACCCAGTCTTGGGTCAGTCTATAGCCGTAGGTGTTACTTTAGCAACCATAACATATTTCCGGCCATCACAAAACTATGGGAAGTCAAAGCAGAGCAGCAAGAAAACAGAGGATGAAAAACTCATTACACAGTTTTTTTGTTTAAACCTAAAATCAACAATGTGCTGGTAAAGCCTCACTATACAACCTGCTCATTAAGTTAAATATTGTAAGAACAAGCCTTCAAGTTAACTGACATTTTACTAGTTGCCGTACAGTAGTAGAATAGATGCAGTAAAGCGGCTAGAGTATCAGCAAATATAGTTTACATAGAGTGTTTGCTTTTTGATTATCTTAGACTGAAAGACATCAACCCAAGGATAGTTTTCAAATAAATAAATACACAACAAAAACATAAATGTACGTAGTGAGTGAGGGAACTTTCAATACCTATGAGTAGGATAACACTGTAGTGAGTATATACATGCTCCATTATGTGACAGGAATGGCAACTGAAAGATAGGTCCTTAGCCTTGATCTTGTGCCATTCTCAGTAGACCTTTAGCTGAGCTGTTTTTACACTGCTGCAGAGTCCGTTTTGAACCGGAACATGTCGAAGCAGAGGCCCCGTACTCAGCTCAGATACCCCCCTCTGCCACTTCAAAGAGCCAACAGCAGCCCATGACTGTTTGATGTAAAGTTCACAGAGACAGAAACTTTCAAGTCCAACGCACAAGGGAATCTCTGAAGGTCCCTGCCGACCCTGCCCCACCTCTCCACCCTCGGTGAGGGGTAGCTGCAGAGGAAGCAAACCTATTTGAGTGCGGTCCTGTTTTGAGTTTGAAAGGTGCCCCTGACAGTACACACGCAAAATTAGTGGACAAAAGTGGACATAAAGAGCTCCCCCCATCTAATTTAGGATTTTAGGCAAGCTTCCCCATTTGATTTACTGGTGCATCTTTGTAGGCTGTGTTTTTTAGATTGCCTTTTCCCCCTGTAGTGCATTGCTTCAGGGCACCTTTCCCTGAATGCCCAGGCATTTAATGCAACAGCAGTGATTCAAAGCTCAGCATGACAAGTTGTTTAGGTTTCATCCTTACTTTTTTATTCACAGTAAGCATCACACAGGGTCACAAGCCCACCACGCCACCAGTCAGGGTCAATGCTGCAGAGGGGGAGAATAGAACAATGTTAAAAAGCAGGAGGGAGTAATGTGCCCCATGCACAGTATGAAGGAGACTTAATAGAGAGTAGGGCTTAGGGCTATAGATGTCCTACAGACACATTGTTTGAGGCCTCACCTTACACTGTTGATTCAAACCACTCCTCTTCACGCTGTCTTTCCCATTAAAGGAATTAAAAGGCAAAACCCATATCAAAACAAGGGACACAACCTTAGTCATAAAGTCATTGGGAACAAGCTTTGGCTTCCAGAGGAGAAACAGTGACAAAGGTAAATACATTTTTAATTATCCCAAGGGGAAACCCTCATCTGTATCTTAAAAGGGGTAGATTCATGTCAAAACAATTATGTCTCCCAAATGGAAATGAAATGATGTGCTGCAACAAAGATTGGCCATTAACTGTAATGCCCTTTGATCATCAGTACTTATCAGGGATTCAACTTTTTGAATTACAGGTTACAATTTTCTTTTGAAAGATAACAGTGAAACATTTCCCACAGATTACCAGAGTCTAAAGTGACCAATCAAATGACAAGTATCTGATGCTATTATAAGGTCAACATGTTCAGTTGTCTAAAGCTTTCATTTGTGACCACACTTGTGGACCTTTTGGAAATACTGGAACTGTTAGCGTGTTAACCCACTATACTAAGCTGGTGAAACAGTGTACCTGCTTAGCATTAACAGGTTAGCATTGACTGTGAGCATGTTAGCATGGTGACATGCTAACATGCTCACAGCTCTGATTTGACTGAGCAAAGCCTCCAGAGCTGCTGCAAAGATTATTTGTTGTTTGGTAGAAAACACATAAAATACATGTATTGAAATAGCTGAATATAATATATTTTGCTGATCAACTGACATTTTCATCATCAGTGAAAGTTATTTTAGTGTCATCTGGAGAATTTGGAGAAAGTGACAAGAGGAAAAGCTGCAGAAGAACATTTGAAAATGATGATGTTATGACGCCAGTGCCAATACATGATTTATCATAACAGAGGATACGAAACCATTTATGAGGCATAGTGAATATTTATATAATTGCATTTTTTGACTGGGAGAAATGACAGACTTTATTTCATTGGAGACATTTTGGATCATCCCTGAGTCAACATCATCTATTCTGTCTCTGTGGATTGAGGACATAATAACTTCCCGACAAAATAAACTCTCAAATCAAATCAAGGCGGAAGAGTAGGTATGTGAGACACATTGACAAAAAAAAAGAAACGTTCAGCCATAATGGCTCTCTATCGTCCGTTATTGCTTCCTGTGAAAACTCACTGACATTTTCATAAATGTCACAGATTTACATCCTTCTCAGAGGACCACTTCAAATGGTGGTGTTCACGGGTAATTAGGCAACATCCACAACGTGCACCTCGGGAGGTAGAGCAGGAGGAGACAGAAAAAGGGGGACTGAAGAAGAAGAAAGAGAGTGAAATAGGTTAAAGAAGTAGAGGGGGTTGTTGAGAGAATATCATCACATTTCTTCACAGTAAACATGCGTGGCCCTCCAAAGTGAACCCTTTGTCCTGGCTGTGGGGTGTTGAGATTTGAAGGGTGGCCATTCATACCACTGACCTTTTTACAGCCTTTTTTCCTGTCTGTTTAGCTTTCCAAAACGCCAGAAGCACCCTTCTATTCCTCATTCAGCCAGTTGACCTTTTGACCTCGGCCTATGCCGTTTCAAAAAGGTAGATGAGCAAAAGTACTTACTTTTATTTAACGAAAGAGGAAAAACACACGCCAAAAATGTATAATGCTGTAAGTACGTCAAATTGAAAGATGAATATTAAAAAGGTTTCGATTGAAGATAGAGCATGTGGGTGTCAGCTGCAGGGTGGCACCACACTAATCAACCTCTCTTTTGTTTTGGCCTCTGTCCACTGGTGTGGTTAACAAGGCCTCTGAAAGAGACCCTCATCCTTAACCGTTATGTCCTCTCCTCATCAGTCACAATAGGTATTTGTTCTCCATGGGAGGTCAAGCCTGACACAAATGCTGAATACATGTCCTGCCTGCCGTTATTTCCCCCCTTCGCAGATCAATTACTGTAATTGTTGGCTCACATGCAAATCTGCAAATCCCAGGTCGATTAGTCCCAAGCTTCACAACAAATAGCCATCATTGTATTTCAGTTACATCCTATTTACAAAACTCACTGTGCAAACTGACAGCAAGCTAGCGCAGGTGCGTGAGTGTAATTACTGCTCAAAACACCGTCCATCAGATAGAGGCAACGCTTTTCAAGAAAGATGTCCGGGTAAGAGTGACAAAGCATTTTTTCGTGGGAGCCTCTTCAACTGACCTCGTGTTGACACCGTGGGCTGCTATGCTACTGTCAGTGTGCTTATTTTCCCAAGGGCCCAAGAGCTGTGTAGTTCTCTGCTTTGTCAGGGCTTTCTGGCCTAGATACTAATCTGTCTTCCATCAAGATTGCAGTGTGGCTGTTCTTTTGTTTGGCTCGAACCTTGCGGCCGTTTGGGAAAGGCTTCCTGGGTATTATCTCCAATCCAGGATATTCTCAGCCCTTCCCTGTGATACAGTATCAAAACAACACATTAAACAGCTGCACCCCACCCCGTTCCTCAAATCAGCGCTACTGATGTGAACACTTCTGCACCTCTCAATCTCAATTCTCACTTCCTGTGTCAACACTCTCCCAGGTGCATATTTTCACTATTTGGTTTCATTTTTACTTCACTGCTTTGTCCTACGATTAAATATTACACTTGAAACACCCACGCAGCACCAAGTCTCTGACAAACATGCTGACAAAATGACAGGGTGGGTGAAACATAAACCTGTTAGACGACAGACTGCTGTTGCCCCTCCCAAGGCGAATGCCCTTTGGCTCTTGGTGACCATTGTTCCTCTCTGTTCCCAGGCACTGACATCTGGTGACAATGGCCACGGCGGGAAAGAGGAAAGAGAGCCTGTGAGTCCGCAAAGATACATACAAACACACACAAACACAAAGACACACATGTGTATTTGCAGACATCAGAGAAACAAACAGACGTGGGTGAAACAAAGGGCAGATTGAGTTAACACACATGTGCACATGCATACGTATGAACACACTGAGGAAAGGAAGCTGCTAAATCCCTGCACAAAATGAACTTGAAGTCGAGAGCTGAACCCAAAAAAGAATGATAACACAAACAAACACATTGGCAGACGATTACGCACATTACTCCCCCAGGCATGGAGGGCGAGAAACAGAGTGACCCCACACACACACACACACACACACACACACACACACACACACACACACACACACACACACACACACACACACACACACACACACACACCACACACACACACACACACACACACACACACACACACACACACACACACACACACACACACACACACACACACACACAGTAATGCCAACACGTCAGATTTGAAATGCTTATTAAGAGTTTAAGGGATCACACACATGTACACACAGGGTCACGCAGTTAAAGTGGAAAGTTAGACAGATAGTCAGAGCAGGAGAAACACACACATCCAGCATGTCCTCTCCCCCAGCAACGACACCACTGTGAGTATTGTTTGCTTCAGGTTTCCGTGCTAACCTGTCATTTATCCACAGGGGCCTCAGACTGCTGTCTCTGCAGCTCCACTGGAGGTGTGGCACCGCACCCCCCCCCCCCCCCACCGCCACCCGGCTCTACCCAGTGTCTCTGATGTGGGAGGCTGCCAAATTAGCCAGGAGAGCCTTGCGGCAGTGTGTCTCCTCTGCAAATTAGAGGAGAGAGCGGAGGAAGACCAGAGAGAGGGCAAACACAGGACAGAGCGAGAGAGAGATTGCAGGTTCAAAGAGCTAATGACCTGCATACGAGTCGTGCACAGGGAGTTGAGCGAGGAGTAGACATGATCTCATCCCATGTGCTTGTTAGTACCTGATCAGACAAGGGAGTGACATTTGGTATACAAAATAGTATATTGAAAGATTGTTGACAACTAGCTTTGCTCACTTAACAGATAATAACAACAGTAATTATGTGCTTATACTTCTTTCATGTCCATACTCCAGCAGAGCAGGTTTACGACTTACTTGGTGTGACAGACAATATGACAGCTCTGTCTTTGAGCCCTAAAGCTGTGGGTATTTTCTAGGTTTTATCAAATAATAAAAGTTGATGCCATGTCTTAAAAGAAAATAATCCTGGTGATATCTTATATTTTTTATATTGTCAACAAATCCCACAAAAATGCCCAAACCAATAATGTGTTAGTCTGTGTTTTATTTGTTCTGAAAACCCTGTCTGTCTTTCAGAAAATCCATTAAGTTTCCTGAAAAAGCGAGGCAATGTGGTTTCTAGCAAACATTAGACAAAAAATGTAAATTGTGCACTATTTACAGCAGTGGATTCATACAGATGTAGTGCTATAGTGTGGCAGTATTTACAGCAGCAGGACAATGTATGTGAGATATAATTAAAATACACAACATTGCCCATGTTTATCATAGTGAAGGAATTTTTCAAAAGTATGTATTTTAAATAGTTGTTGGACAACAATTATGGGTAAAAGGCACACCTGTCCTTTTAATATTGAAAATCTTAAGTTCAAAACTCCAATTAGAAGCAGTTTTTATTTCTTGACAAATAAGGCATGAAGCCGTAAATGGCCGATAATAATCATGCAGGTTTGGCATCATCTTCGTGGAAAATGGTTGTCAAATATTGTCTTTAAAACAGCTGCCAACAAGAATTCTTAGATGTTTCTTCAAGTATCATTATTAAGATGTGATCGCATGCCGATTAGTTTGCATATTAACATGCCGCCAAGTGCATTTCTTTGTTTTCGTGTTCTGATGAAAGTATTAAACATGCACAACATCATCCTATCCTCAAAAAAACACTATGTGCTAGCACACAAACCACAAACATGGCTTTTGTCCACAACACGCTATCATGCAAGCACGATAACACTCTCGCTCTCAATTTCCTTCAAGCTGTAGACAAGTAGACCTCAGGAGACGCACGGTGTGATGATTGTGTGCACTTAGGGAAGCTGGAGGGGAGGTGTGAAGCTAGAAGAGTAGAAGATGAAAAAGGAGAGGCTGTGGGAATCCTCCCTCTGTCGTTTTCACACTGGTTTCCTGTTGTCACCGCTCCCATTTCCTGTCCCAGAGGAACTCTGTTTGCACATCCCACAATTCACCATTTTGTTTTTTGTTTATTTCCCCTCCTTGTTGGCTTAACCTATTATTAGTTAAGCCAACATGGTATTTCTGCCTGAACAAAGAATAGACTGTAGTCTCTGTGTCAGGAGTCTTGAAGGATCTACATTCATCACATTTGTTAAGTATGACCGTTCACTTGCCAATCAAATTACTTATCTGATTGGGTGAACACACTGAACCCAATGCATCACCCCTTAATCTCATCTCCCCTCCACCTACGTACCTCTATCCATACTCCCTTTTCTGTTCCTCTACTTCTTCCCTTCACTGCCCTACCTTCCTTCCCCCCAGGGTCTGTATCTCCTCCTTTCCTTCCCCTCCTTGGTTTTCTGTCTGTGTTGTAGTGCGGGTGGGGTTGGATGGGGGACGTGGCTTGGGATGGGGGTGGGAGTGTTCAGTCTGGCTGGGGATGCTGCCTGCGAGAGGAGCAGTAACCTTTCTTTGGGTCCTTGCTGATTTCATTATTTTCATTATTGGGAGACTTCCACCGTAGCAATCCCATTAGGATAAGACGAGGCCCAGAGGAGGGGACGCGCTGTGGGGTGTGGTGTGTGTGTGTGTGTGTGTGTGTGTGTGTGTGTGTGTGTGTGTGTGTGTGTGTGTGTGTGTGTGTGTGTGTGTGTGTGTGTGTGGTGTTGTGTGTGTGTCTGTGTGTGTGTGTCTGTGAGTTTATGGCATGGTGTCCTGCAGGATGACAGACTCAACTTAAACATGGGGATCTAAGTTGTAAATGTCTCAACTGTGATATTTGCCTGTTCAGCTTTGATAGCTGTTTAAATTATTCATCTAAATCCACCTGAGGATGTGATCATTTAGAAAGACCTAACACTAATGAGTTCAGTCAAGTGCCACTGGCTGTTGCAAGAAGCTCACAGTTTGCGATTTTCCATCCTTCTGTGTCTGGTTAGTGAGCTGCTTAGATGTTGCTTCGCTAATAAGTAATCGTTGGTGGAAATCTACTTGACTGCAGTAATGAGGACGTCCAACATATGCAAATCAAAGCATTGTTCTAGCTTTGAAATGTTCATTTAATAATGGATACTACTATCATTATTTATTAATTATATATAAATTCACATTTTTTTCTTCTGTTAATCAAAAATAAACAAAAGTATTTGTTCAAATTCTCGGAAGGGCCAGTAGCCAATACCTCACAAATGTTCTCTAATGTATTATCTATCCAAATAATCCTTAGAAAATATAAGTGTTGTCTGTTTTACAGAAACACAATGGATATTGAAAGATATTAATCTCACAGATGAGATAGTATGGCATGTCGGCTTCATGGTCCGCGTCCAGAAGTGACCAAGGCTAACAATTTAGCAAGCTATTGAGCAATTAACATAATGCAGGATATGTAAAGCATAGTGTCACTGGAATAGCAAGTGTTTTAACCAACCTCTTAAAAGTACAATTATTTTTTCTGTTTAATACAGTGAATAGGCCTAAAATTAGCCTTGTGGTATAGCCTTTCAAGTATCACTTCTCATCAACAATTCAAAAAATAAATTCCAAAAATGTTTATTTGCAGATTACTCCAGCTAACAAATATTGGGTATTCCCAGAATCATTTATTTCTATTTTTAGAAATAATAATTTTTATTTTTCCTTCATATTTCTTTTCATCGTTATGGGGTTGAATTATTATTTCAGCCCTGGAAATTGCCTTGCAATATTTGTATTGGTGTATGATAGAGATGGCAAATCCGGATCCTTTTACTGACTCACGCAGCGTCCACACACAACGTGCGTTGAAGCTTGCCGGCGGGCATGTCGGAAACTCGACCAACAACCAATCACATGAATCTCCCGCCCCGGACACACAAGCACGCGGTTTGATTGGCTAGAGCTTGTACTGGCATATGATTTGATTGGCTGACGCTTCCGTCGAAGCTTCAAAAGTTGAACATTGCTCAACTTTTGAAGCGACGGAACCACAATGCAGTTCGCAAAGCGTGACGTCACCCCATTCAAAGTGAATGGGCAGAAGCGTTGAAGC